AGGGCACGCCGACGGTAGAATTCGTGAGCATGGCTGCCTTCCACCTGACGGGGGTGGCGCGAATGTGGCACTCCCATCTGGAGATGGAGGAGCAAGCGTTGTCGTGGCCTCAATTCAAACACCGTTGCTTCCTACGTTTCGGCCCTGGCCTCTGGGGCAACACACTGGGCAATCTGGCCAAGCTCAACCAAGGCGGACGTCTGGTGGATGATTTCAACGACGAATTCCAGGAGGTGTTGGAGCGCACTCCGGCGATTCGGCCCGACCAAGAGGCCGACCTTTACACGGCTGGGCTTGATGAGTGGTTGAGGATAGATGTGGAAACCGCGCGCCCGATGAACTTAGACGTGGCTATGAACCTCGCCCGGACTTACGCACGACGGCAGTACTGCCTCGCTGCCACTGCCTAACCATCTCGATCCTCATCTTCATTTTTTTCTTCTGCAGGCAACTCGTCGCGACCAGCAGCTTCACGGCCCAACCAGTATACGACGAGGCAGACCCATCCATCCTAGTCGGCGGCGTCGACAACGAGTTCGGCCGGCAGCCACTCCGTCACAGCCCCCAGACAGGCGGCCTCCCAGCCGCGATCCTCCGGCGCGACGCGAAGTGCGGCATCCTCCAGTCTGCCCCCTGAACGCCGCCTAACCCGTCACGAGTACCAACGGCGAAGATCGCAGGGTCTTTGTTTCCACTGCGATGAAGATTGGTCTCCAACGCACAACTGCCGCCATCTATTCTTATTGGTGATTGACGAGAGTTCCCCGCCAACGATCGACGATGAGGGAGAAGCAATCGCGTACGAAACGGAGAATCCAGATATCTCTTTGCACGCAATCTCCCGGTATGGCAGTGTTGGACTTTTATCATTGGCATGTTGTCACCATTTTGCTTCTTTTTTTTTTTTTTTTTTTTTTGTCAAAAGTTAAGCAAAGTTAAATGGGATTGCATTTACTGAGTTACTCAATTACAATTCATTTACTGTGAACAATTGCATTGAAGGATTACACCAAAAAAAAATGCGTTGAAGGACATCAGTAAGTGCATTAAATTGAATAATTGCAGCAAATGCATTAAATTGAACATTCAACTTCTACACTACATTAAGCTAGAATAAACTTCCAAACCCATGACCAATACCATTGAAATTACTAACCAACACTAATATTGCTACAGAAACAAAAAAAAAAAAAAAAAAAAAAAAAAAAAATCACAGCTCTACATACACACTTTAACTTTTGATTCACAATAGAATTAAAAGCAATTAGAAGCTTTAGTACTAGCAGTGTATCCAAGCTTTGCTTTTAGGACATCAATTTTGTGCTTGTTTCGATTTATTCTTCTTAGCAATCCCGGAATAATCATCTTTGATCTTGAACACATGGGTGGGTCAAACCATCTCACAAATCCACACCCACCAACAACCCTCCTCTGTATACAAAATTTGTGAATATACCAAATAATTAAATAAATAAATCCATAATCAACAAAAAAAAAAAAAAATCAGTTATCCCTCTCTTGTATACAAAATCTATAAGTATACCAAATAATTAAATCCACAATATAAAAAAAAAAAAAAACAAAAAAAAAAAATCAGTCAGTCCTCCCTTGTATACAAAATTTTTGAGTATACCAAATGATAATTTCAATGTTACTCACTTGGTTATCGTAAGCTCAATCCCAATACCTTCTTCCCGGGTTTTTATTCGTCCATGATGTTCGCATTTTCAATCTTTGCCCACAGTGACAATAAGAGAGGGGTGTGTCGCTATAGTAAACCTTGGGATGACAATTGCTCTCCTCGCTGTCGGCATAGGAACGTTATCTTCAAGATTGTTGTTGAAGTCCAAGCGTGGTCCTCCAATGGAGATTCATAAGAAGAATGCGTGAAGGAAATAACAAATGGAAGAAGAATGCGTGAAGCTAGGGTTCAATTGGCTAAATAAGAGGAGAAAAATAACAATGAAAGTGAAATTCCTCTATTGACCTTGACTTAAACAAATTTTTAACAACTGACCTAACAGAGGATCATTTTGGTTAACTTTTGCATAGTTGAGGACTTTTTTAGGTAAAAAAAATAGTCGAGGATCAAATTAATAATTTTACAATAGTCAGAGGAACATTTTGATAATTAACTCGAAAAAATATCAATAACACCATTATTTCAAGGTGTATCCTAGAAGCTAATGATCTTGTCGTCGTTGAAGGGCATGAAATGAGTCATCCAAATGAAAGATCATTGGTTAGAGCATCCACATTGGTTGGGAAGAATGGGGAGATAATGTAAGAGTGATTAGGAAAGAGAGTGTGGGAGAGGAGAGAAAAAAAAAAAAGAAAAAACAAAACAAAAAAAAAAATTAAAAAAAAAAGAAAGTAGTCAGACGCGTCAGGCGCGCCTGACGCGCCTCCGGGCGCGTGCAGTGCACGCGCCCGGCTTTTGCCCAAGGCTGTGCGCGAACGCGCACAGCCTTGCTTCTTCTTCTTTCTCTTTTTTTTTTTTTTTTTTTTTTTTTCTGACAATCTCCCTACATTTGCAGGGAGATTATTTTTCAATTATCTCATGTCCACACTAGCTATTATCTCATGAAGGGAAGATTTAATTCTGAATTCTCCCCACAATATCCACAAGTGTGGATGGCCTTATACCAGTAAAAATGTCATAGTTTCTGGAACAAGTTGACAACAGAGCAGCCACGTGGGATATGTAACCCACGCCACGTGTTCAAAAAGGAAACCGAACACGAACGTTAACAAGCTGACCTTAATTTCAAATTTTCGAACTTTCTTCTGCTTCATTTCTAATCATGCTCTCTTCTGTCAGCCGTCGTTTCTTCCCACGGAATCTATTCGTTCTAAGGCAAGCTTCTTGTGTGGTTATAATTAGGACAATCCATCTCGAATCCTCATCTCCTCCGTCGAACCTCGTACCCTCTCGGCTGATCGGAACCACATTTTCCCCTTCTTTAGCTGCTTCTCCGGTTGCCCCAACAAGGCTTGTGTTTTCGGCTTTGAGATCGCTTCACTCCATGGGCAGTGAACCCAGCAAGGCTACTGCTTCAATCTACGACTTCACTGTCAAGGTCTGTGATTTTCGACCTCTGGGTGTTTGGTTAAATGCCTCTGTGACTTTAATTTGAGCCTTGATATGATGATGGGTGTAATGATATTTTTGTGGTGACTTTTTGAAGCGTTAAGACAATTGAGTGTTGCAGGATGCTAAAGGAAATGATGTTAATCTTAGCACCTACAAGGGAAAGGTCCTGATGATTGTCAATGTTGCATCAGAATGGTATGTTACAGGCTTCTCATTCAGCATTTGATCCTTTCTTTTGGTGTGTGGTTGAGACTTATTGAAAGAACTTATAGGAAAAAGTTATGTTAGTTTTTCTCTTAATTTGTTTTTTTCCTTGTACAGTGGCCTGACCAACACAAATTACACTGAGATGAACCAGTTATACCAGAAATACAAAGACAAAGGTTTGATCTGACTTCTTTTTAATTTTTCTCTCTGCAACTCCTTTAGTGAACCCATAACTCATAAGAGTTTTGTTTAACAATCCTGACTTGATTGATTTCACCGTTCTTCCAAATGACAAATTCAAGTATGTATATCTAACTTGCATGTTACTATGAGTATGAAATTTTATCCTTTTGGCTATTTGAGTGATAATGATTCCTTAATGTCTAGTCTTGCATTGACTTCATACACCCCCCTTCTCCCGGAGAAAAAATGTGAACCTGGGGGAACCCGCCCCAGTCAAGTTAGTCAGGCTGTTGACTTGATCGACTCTAAGCTGGAGCAGCCTATTGGTGGTTTACTATACTTTGCCGGCTAGGGTCACAAGGCGGGGTTTATCCGGTGTATAGTAGTGGCTGCGAGTTTCCCTTGTCACTTAAAAAAATGTGAACCTGAATTTGCATAAGCTGAGCAAATAGTAATTGAGATTTAATCTGATCCTCTCACAGGTTTTGAGATTCTTGCATTTCCTTGCAATCAGTTTGGCTCACAAGAGCCTGGCACCAATGAAGAAATCATGCAGAGGGCTTGTACTCGCTTCAAAGCTGAATTTCCTGTTTTTCAAAAGGTAGCTCTCTCTCTCTCTCTCTGGTTGTATCACTGTGTTTTCAAGGATTTCCTAAATGCAATTCTGCAGGGTGCTTATGACTTCATACTGTCACAACAAACATGAAAATTGATTTAATCCTTCAAATTTATTTCCTCTGGTTTGCGTGTATTCTTAACATTGTAAGCATGTTTTGCGATTTAGGTTGACGTCAATGGTGCCAATACTGCCCCGGTTTACAAGTTCTTGAAGTCAAGCAAAGGCGGCCTTTTTGGTGGTAGTATCAAGTGGAACTTCACCAAATTTATCGTCGACAAGGATGGAAACATTGTTGAACGCTACGCACCCACCACATCTCCAGCGAGCATAGAGGTAACACTTTTGCATCTATACTCGCAGAAAATTGCTGTATAACTCTATTCAACAAGATACTCAACAGATCCTCCCCTTTTGTGTTGCTGCAGAAGGGCTTGAAGAAACTACTTGGGATTGCCTGAGCCTTAGAGATGAATAAGTAGTCCTCATATATGTTGTCCATTCTCACATATGTATAAGTTTCCCCCCTCTAATGTGCCCTTTGTGAGCCCTAAACCTGAAAACTGCTTCATAAATGTGTCCCTATAACCTTATAAATAAAAGGAAGAATGACATTTTTCCATGAATTAGTAGCGTTAGACAGTTGGCTTGGTAACTAACTTTCTTGATTTGAGTAGTTGATTAATTTAAGTTGATTTACCTCCTTACGGTACTTTACTGACTAGAATCATAAGACAAGTTTCACCTTGAATGCATATTCAGGAACATAATTTTTCCTAATAAAATATTAAAAAAAAAAAAAAAAAAAAACTATTACCCTATTACCCCGTAATTTAAAGGAAAAAGAAATAAAATTTTCCCTAAATAACATTATAAAACAGGAAAAGGGAGAGGGAGCACTGAAGAAAAAAATAATGGTCATTTTAAAACTGGAATCCATGTTATGTTGTACAATCAAATATTCAAGTTACAACAAGAACAAAGAGATACCCAACAGGGACACCAACAATCATATGTTCCTTCATCAAATTTTTGGATTATCAAAGGTTAACCACAACACCTGGCTACAAAGTGAGATCATGCAAATTTTTTGTTTGTTTGTTTCTTTTTCAACAGCCATAATCTTCTTCTGTATTGCCACTGGCACACTGAAACAGCCTAAAATGGAGTCTTGCTACCAGTGTGAGTTAGCAAGTTAAAAAAGTTGACGATTTCCTGGTGCATTTTCATTTACAACACATATGTACAAAATCATCATGTGTTGATTTGCACGAAGATTGCTTCATCCACGCGTTAGATCAATGTCTGTTTGGGAACTTCTCATATCTGTCCTGGAACTCGAAGAAGGCCAAACAGCCATATTTGGAGCACGGTTTTGAATTGGTGTAGTGATAACAGGAGTCTGGGATTTCTCAGCAGACCGGATCGCAGAGTCCATGTCATCTCTTGCACTATTCTCTGTCTTGTTCTTTGCATTTGTATTGCCATGTACAAAACTGCACGCTACCACCTGCAATAACCATAGATTTCACTGTGTATTCTAACTTAGAAGAAAGTTGTTTACTTCATTGTGTGCATGAAGTGAAGAAAGAATGGCGAGGCCTGAAAGGCCAAGTCCAGCACCCTGTGGCGTTGGCTGCTACCAAAGTATAAGAAAATAAAGTTGCGCATTCGTTACTAGATATAACTTTTAGCGTAATGGTAAGCACTTGATCCTATCAGATAGGATATTGATTGCAAATCCACAGATTTGAACTCCTTTAGAGTTTGATTGTGGTATCCAAGATTTTGTACGAGTTTGGATATGGGTTGAGGGGATAAGTAAAATACCTGAACTGAAGTAGCTGCCATGAGTTGGCCACCAATTGCGCCCCCAAGGACATGCCCATCGGGACTACTAACAGAAATACTTAGTCCACCAATACGGTTGCGCGGGCCACCATTTTCAGCAACCAAGTATGAACCAGACATGCGCAGTATATCAAAACGACCCTACACAAGGTATGAACAAAGTGAGTTTGTAGCGGAAAACATGGCCAATAGTAGCGACTCGGGCAGAAATGAGCAGAACAAATAACTTCCAAAAGGAACAGAAAATGCGAGCCAAGCAACTCAAACACAGTTCACATGACTCACAAATCATGCTTAATGTGACTTAGGTTTTGCAAAGGAAAATGTGCGGAATTAGGTTCTTCTCAAAGTTAAAATACAGCTTAATATGAAGAACGAGGGTTTTAAGAATTCATACAACAGATTCAAAACATCAATATATAGAACGGGAACCTCACCAAATTAAGGGTGAATCTCAATAGGCTTCATTTTCCCGACAGTGATTATGATTTGAAGATATTTGGAATAGGGCAATGCTTTCTTAAAACTCAAAATATTTGTAAGCATACATGAGTAAAAGACATTGGAGTTAGTTTATTATACCTCATATGTGACGGTGGCACCAGAACTTGCTGGTGGTCGCAGTGTTACAGCAGAAACTGTACCATTAGCCGACAATATACATAAAGCCCTTGGCCTCTGTTCTGCAAATGCTAATATTTTTGCTGCTACATCCTGCAAAAGGGAACCTATTATTCATTCCTGTTTCCCTTCACTTTGGCAAACCATAACCATGCAAGGTATCAAATGTTTAACACTTCAAGTAATGCCTTGACTTTTGGTCTGAATTATGTCACAAACGGAGACCCTATAACTCCCCAGGACCAATTAGTTTCCTTGAATTTAGGTCTGAATTATGTCACATATGGCATGCCTTAGAAACAATCACGGGAAGCACTATTTTTTTTTCCGTAAGTTTTATTTATGATATTATGTCACATGTGGCACAATTAACAGATTAATTGTGCGCCAATGACCTTATGGTCTAGTGGCATGAAGTGACTCCCCCAAATGGGAGCTCTTTGTGCTTCAATAGGTTGAGAAAGTAGATATGAACAGATACTACTACATTGTAACAGAGATTAATTGTGCAAAACGAAGAGAATATCACATACCTCTCCTATTCCAATGTGTATGACATGTGGCGTAAATGCCAGTCCAGCTGAACTATTCATCCAATCACCTGCAGCAAGCAAATAAAGTTTTATGAAAGATCCCCCAATAATCAAGTAGCTTATATAAAGAAATATCCAAAGTCGACATATTCTACCTAAGCAAGCAATGTCCAAATTTAGAGCTTTTTAAGTTTCTACCTTTCTAGCATTTTCTCAATGACTATGCCCAAGGTCCTTGTCCCTTATTTTCTTTTACTCTCCCCTCCCCCCACCGAAAATAAAGCACACATACAAAATGTAAGGGAAGGATTCAAAGCACTCAATAGTTTTCCTAAAGCCATTGTCTTTGCAAAAGTCAGAGTATTGGTTTCGTAACAAAATGCTATCTTTCTTGTGAATGTGTAATGGAGAAAAAAAATTAAGCAGCGGGCAATAATTACTAAGCAAAGGAAGTGCTATTATCCACCTACTAATGCATTAAGCATAGAAATCAAAATTTTTTTAATGCACAAAACTGCAGATTCAAATAGCATAACAACTTGAATTGAACAAGGATGGAAAACATACCAAGGGGAGCTAATTGTTGCTTCCACCCGGTTCCACGAGGCCTTCCTTTACTCCGCTTTCGTCCGGGAGTTATGGACCCTGGCGAAGGCCTGGAGGACATGGAAGATAGTGCTAAAGACATGTTGGACCCATCGGGACCATACTTCCTTGGCCTGCCTCTTTTCTTTTTCACCGGATCACCCGGTGTGACATTGGAGGTCATACCTATGTCAATGTTTCGAGCAAAATTGGTTGAAGGGTTCTCAACTTGGAATGCAGAACTCACAGCCCCTCCTCCCCCAACATTGGACTGAACTGCAATGTTCGGGTTCGAAAGGGGCTTGAACCCAGAGGGAGTTGGCATCCCCATTGGTCGCCTACCACCACCACCACTACCACTACCATTACCACTACCACTACCACCACCACCACCACCACCACCACCACCACCACTACCACTGCCGCCGCCTCCACCATCAGACCTAACCCCTGAACTACCAGGCCCACTAACCCCTCTATTGAAATAGTAAGGTGACCCATAGAGTGACATTCCTTCCCTGACATCCATGCATTTACTAAGCAAAATTTCAAAGCTTTTGAATCCCTCTACAATTACCAATCAGGGAATTGGACAACTAACCCAGAAGATCTAGTCTCTGAATCCTTCTAGAACTAATTCTCCTCAGGGAAAATGAATTGACAGAGATCAAAATGCATAAAAATTCAGCAAAAAAAATCATAAACACAAGGAGTATAAATTTTTCTAAATCCTAGCAAGGGTTTAAGATGGGTTTTTCATAAGCATAAAAGCAAAACTAAAAATTACAGAAAAAAAAAGCAATCTTTGAGTCTCTGCTGAACAAACAAAATGTAAAGGTCGAATCTTGAAAAAAACAACTAAGTCAGAGATCACACACCAGAGCTTATTCTGAAGAATGTCAAGAATCTACTGCTATATAAGACCATCCAACTCCAAAACCTATCTAGGAATCTAACAACTCTGAACCTTTTCTCAAGTGCACCAAGAACCAAGGGGGAAATAAAAAGAAACCCTAGATTTGAATTGGGAGTGGAATAAGAGAGAGTATTGGGAAAGAGGGAGGGAGGGTAAAGACAAAAGTGAAATGAATAGAAAAATTTGAGCTTTTGAATTAAAGAAAGGAGAAGACACCTTTTCTTTTAGGATTGAAACAATAATTTAATTTGGGGTGGGGATTGGAAAGGGTTTTGGAACTAACACCAGTAGCAGTGGAAAAAAGTTGTATATTTTCATTTCTTTTTTTTTCCTTTTTCCAGAGTTCTTTTGACTTGTGAGTTCCCAGTGTTCATTCATACCATTGGTGACAGTTGGGTGCACCTAAGTACTAGCATGTCCTTATCAGAATGCTACTACTGTTTTTGGAATTACCAACCCCACTTTGCCTCTTTCTTTGATCTGAGTAATCTTTATTTAGCTCTCATCCAGACACAAAGTCAAAGATTGTTTGATCCCTACTATTTTATTTTATTTTTTTTTAACTCGCAGAGACTTAGTTCACTGATTCAGTATGCAGTATTTGAGAGAAGAGATCAAGATTTGAGATGGAGATTATGTTCAAAGTGGGCAGATCTCTTATGTGCACACCGAATCATTGAGTCATAGTGATTTACATCTCTCCAAATGCTCTTTAGGGCTCTTAGGTTGGGGATTCAACATTTACATTCTCCCAAATGATCTATCGAGCCTTTGGGGTTGGTGATTCAGCATTTTGAGAAAAGAAAAGTTTTTTTTTTTTTTTAAACAACTCAATCAAATTGGTCAAATTATTTAATTTGATAACCATAATGCTATAAGTTTGATTTGCCATTATAGGCAACTTAGGCTGGTGTCGTTTAAGACCTCCTTGGTTTGAGATGATCATCTATAATCAACCTAAGCTGACTTAACTCATTGTGATTTTTTGTTGTCGCTTAGGGTCACAAGACATGGTTTATTAATTTGTCACGTGTACACAATTTTTCTCGTCACTAAACAATATGATTTATATTTTTTAAATAATAAATTTAATTACAAATATGTTTTAAATTATTAGTTAAACATTTTAAATTAAATTGTATTATATTTGCAGGATAATCAAAGACAGTCTATTTAATTTACAGAAAAAAAAAATTTTATATTGTTTTCCTTGACTGTTTCTTAGTTGGTGTGAGAATTTTATTTTTGAAATTTCAATTTCTAAAATAAAATGTATAAGTTCGAAGTTCAATTTGAGTTAATACTATATGAGGTCCTTTGAGTATAATGATTTTGTCACGTTCAGTCTTAAACTTTTAAATTGTCCATCTGCGGTCCTTCGACTTTCAAATTTAACTATTCGTGGTCCAAGTAACCATCCATGGTCCTTCAAGTTTTGAAATTTAACTAGTCGTGGTCCTCTTGAAAGGATCATGATTGGTTAAAATTTAATAGTTGAAGGACCATGAATAGTTAACATGGACCACGAATAGTTAAATTTAAAAGTCAAAGAGCCACAAATGGTCAATGTAAAAATTTAGGACTAAACTTAACAAAATCACTATACTCGAAAGATTTCATATGATATTAACTCTTTAAATCATGTAGATAATATGAATGTTTGCTGAAGCTCAACCACTTGAGTCTCCGTAATTTGTGCATTTTCATTTTCATTTTGTTTTTAGTATATTGACTGGTGAGTGATGACATGTTCATATTTGCAATTTGATTGTACTATATTAAAAGTTTGATGATCCCACCTTGTAAGTTGCCAAGTTGGAATTCACCAAGAAGTTTCCTTCATTGCCTTCTCACTTGAATTTAATAAAAGATAGCAAGAGAGAATCAAGGTTGGATAGAACCAACAAACAGATTCAAACAAAAGATCAAGGAAAATTAAAGCAAATAAGTGATGGGAAGAGACCCAATTGTGATTGGCAAATTATTATGTGGATCTTTAATATATTAAAATATATATTATAAATGTATATTATACAAAAAAAGTATATTAACATTACAATATTTTTGTACTGAATAGATATTTTTTGGTAGTATATATACAAAATAATGTGCATTCAGTACTTAAATAATATGGAGTATACTTTATGTACATAAATAATGTATTTTTTTTTTATTTATGGTTCACACAATAATGATTGTGTTATATTATGGTGGGCCTATCTAGATTTGGTGTTTTGCAATTAACTGATTGTTGATAGTTTATAGCTAATTGTGTTAGCTAATTTTGAGCAACTGATAATATTAGTTGGTTATAGAAAGATGTCTAGTAAATTAATTCTTTACTTTTAGCTGATTACATATAAAATATAAAATGACCTATAATAACATAAATATATTGTTTATTGTTATCTTTGTGTTATTATTATTATTATTATTATTATTATTATTATTATTATTATTATTATTATTATTATTATTATTATTATTAATTATTTTTTAACTATTATCTTTTATTATTAATATTACAATTATGAATAAATACTATATAGTTAATAATAATTCAATATTAAAAATATAATTTCATATATATATATATATATATATATATATATATATATATATATATATATAATTGTTCTGATAATGTAAAGAAAACTTAAATTTAAATAAATATAAATACTACAATGACCAACCATTATCACAGGTAAATTAAACTTTTAAAATGAAATTTCAATAAGTTATTCAAAATAGTTTTTTCATTTTCAGCTTATTAACATTAATAAACTAAGTTAAAAATTCGTTCTACCAAACACTCATATTAGGTGTTTTACTAGTCAAACAACTAAAGTTGATCAAACAAGCTATACTTTGACTAATAAGTCATTTTTCATACACCCCATATGTAGATACAATAGATATATTATGTACTTTTAATTAACAAATTACGTATCAATTATAATTAATATATTATGTACTTTCAATTTATTATAGATGCATAATTTGAATATTATTTTGAATTAAGATTCAAAAAGAATCTTGGTCCATAATATACTTTGCATGAGAATACACAAGGACAAAACTTCAAAATATCCTCAAGCCCCAAAATTCCCATGAGATGGCCCGGCATTTTCTTAAATTTTGGTAATGGGCCATCTGACTTATCAAAGCTAATTACTCTAGGAAAAAAGTCAAATTAGCCCACCAAGTCAACCGAATAATGCAATTAGGTCCCTTAATTAAAATAAAATTTCATTTAGATGTTCTAAACTTGTAAACTTGTTCAATTGAGTTTAAAATGACTTGTTTAACAGGTTAAATCTTCCTATGTTTGACACATGTTTTTTTAAAATACTTTTATTTCTGTTTTTTTTTTTATAAATTTTATTTATTTATTTATTTATTAAAATAGATATTATATATATAATAATAAATAAATAAAAAACAAAGCCACCGGCGACTCCGGCAAGACCTCCTTTGTTGGGAAAATGCAAGTTAATGGGTTTTGTTGGGGGGTTGGGGGGAGGTGGGAATTGAAGTGTTCCATGTAAGATTTTCCCTAATAATATATATTATATATTATATATTAGGGCCTTAATTAAGTGGTGCAAGTGGACTAGACTTATTAAGTGGTCTGGCTGGACTGAATAACTAGAAGTTGTTAATCCACCAAACTCTGTGCCTAATATAATCCTGAATTGATGGGATACAGGATGATTGATGTTAGCACATTCAGATACGGTACTCATACTGCTCAGTAGACACTAATACACCATCTAGGGTCTACGATTCCGCTCTTATACGAGGTCAGATCTCTCGTATATTATTGTTCAGTATAGTTAGATTATTTGTATCTAAAATTTGGTATCAGATCCCTTATAATCACTACTACAGAATATAGCTTTAACCTCGGCAAAATGACCCCATTTAACCTCGGCTATCCTACGACGTCGACTAAATCGACGTTGTAAGAAAATAAACGACGTCGGTTATTTAACCGACGTCGTATTTTTTTTTTATTTTTTTTTAAAATGATACGACGTCGGCTAATTGGCTATTAGCCGACGTCGTATAATTATATTAAAAAAATTAAATACATACGGCGTCGGCTCCGCCAAATAGCCGACGCCGTATGCATTTAATTTTTTTTTTTAAATGATACGACGTCGGCTAATTGGCAATAAGCCGACGTCGTATCATTATTTTTTATTTATTAATATATATACGACGTCGGCTATGACCAATAGCCGACGCCGTATGTATTTAATTTATTTTTTTTTTTAAAAAATTATACGACGTCGGCTAATTGCCAATTAGCCGACGTCGTAACATTATATTTAATAATGAAACCAATAGCCGACGTCGTATCTATTTATTTTTTTTATACAGAAAAGGTTTTATGCTCTAGCCCAACCTGCGCTGTGCAATCAGAACCTGTGCAGCTAGTTACATTCAGCATCAACATCAACTAATTCAAACTATATACTAAACATGAAACTAATTAAGCACAATGCAACAAAACTACATACTAAAACTAAAATTAATATAAATAACACAATGCAACAAAACTACTAATTAACATCAAACCAATAAACACAAAGTAGTTTTAAACATAAACTAGTATCAAATTAACAACGTTTTATTAACCCATTCATCAATAAGAAACTTAGACCATTTGTTTCTAACGTCATCAATCTCTTGTTTGTTGTAGGGCAATCGTCCTTGTCTTTCCAAAATCTACAAAGTTCAAAAAAAAAAAAATAATAAATAACTACTAAATATTTTAAACAACATTTGAAAAAGAAATATGTATTATTAGATTACTTGCCTTATCCATTCCTTTGCTTAAGTTGTTGGAAATAATTTCCCACATGAATTTCATCACATAATAACCACATTCGGTGCTTCCTTTTTGTATAGCACACTACATTTGAATTACAATAAAATTATTTTAAAATAGAAATAAAAAACAATAAGTTTGCATGTTTTACAAAGTGAAAGAAGTACTTACCAAACATGTAGTCCATTTCGATGAACGAGATTGTTTCTTTCCACTCATCATGCTTGTTGCAGTCATACACCTATTCATATAAGACATAAAATATATATAAATATTTGGCATCACTTGTTTAATAATAACTATTAATTCATTATATAAATTTACATACGTTTCCATTATATGTTTAATGTCTTCACGCGGCCCATGACCAAGTGAATCAAACCAAAAAATTTCATTTAATCTAGGACAAATCGCCATCAGCATCCAATGCTCACTACAAATAAGTAATTTATTAGTTATACGTAAATAAGTAAATATAATATAATATAAAAATATATTATATGTAAGCACTTTAATTTAAAACGTAATTAAAACTTACTTGAGAACGTATGGGGCTAAATACACATTTTTCTTCCCATACTGCATGGTGGCATTTATATATGATTTCCTTTCTTCTGATCTATATTATTCATTTTTGGTTGAATCCAATATGGATCTAGGAAACCATAAGTGTCTTTTGATGCCAACTCAAAATTGATGTAAATACCCCTATTCACAAATAGAACCAATTATACATAAATAATCAAGAATGTAAATATAAAACTATTATGCATAAACAATCATAAAGAACTTATTATTACCTTATAAAGAACTGAACTAGAGAAACATCGATGGTGTCCATACTTAAGAAACGCAATATCTCCACACTTTCAAGGTGCAAGTCATACTCAATCTCGCCCATAATACCACGAGCCACATGGATCACAAGATTCTGTTCGAAACGGCGAGCTATTGTAAAAGCCTTTTTGCACTCAGCAGTCAAAGAATCTAGAGCAATACTATTGTCCATGGTATTGTCTTTTAACTGTGAATTATAATACAAGTAAGAATTATAGTTTTAAAAAGTAAATTATTTAATATTTTAAAATAGAAATATTATCAGTATACATACCGCATTAGCTTAAGTACATAACTCTACCAGCTTCTTTGGCCAAACGATAAAGTGTTGGCTTGCATCACTTACAAGCTTAACCTCACCGGTGGGGAATGGTACATGTGCAGTTGGATCACCAACATCAGTTATACTCACTTTCACATTGTTTACATCCAGTACAACCCCATGAACTTGTCTACCACTGTAAGTTGTCCCATATGCCACTGGACGTCTAATTGGATCTTCTAAAAACAATTGACATCGTGCCCCTAACTACAATAATTTTTAATTAAAAATCATATAAAATTTTATTGATAAATAATAATAAGATAACTATAAACGAATACTTACAGCCGGTAAATTACTAAAAGGGTCTGGGGAACTAGCTTTGTCACTGGGAGGTGGTGGCACAGCATCCACACATACGGTTGTCACCTGCTTTGGCTGTAAAGGAGTCTGCATAGCACTAAATTGCAACATCATACTAGCTATTTTTGCCTCAAATTGCTCTGTTATACGTTGACCAAATTCCTCCCATTCAGAAATATTTTCCTGCTTTTGTTTTTCTAACGCTTCTGCAACAGCAGCACCAACGGCAGCACCAACAGCAGCATCAACCAGTTGTTGAACATCTTCAGGAGTCTTTTGGCGACGTTTTGCATGGCCAAAAACACTTTTGATGCCATGTCCTCTTCCCATGGCTCTAACACGTCCACAATGCTCATCGGTACCCAACGCAACAGTCAATGAATCCTTTCTTCCATCCTCAATAAATTCTCCTTGAGAAATTTGCAACTCAAGAGCATCCTAACATATATAAAAATTATTCAATAATAATAATTACTATTACTGTAGTAAATGACAAGATATGTACTTACAATTTTTTCCGCCACCACTCTAGTTGAATCAGTGCGATAATTTCCTGACTTGTCCATTCTTGCTTTCTTCCATTTTTCGACTCTACGTATGGGACTTGGAGGACTCATTGTATACGACGGATCTGCATCAGCTAATGCTTGTTGTTCTTTCAACTTCTCGTCCATCATCATCTTCTCCAACCTTTTATAACCACCTCGAGCTAAAAGATGTGGATGAATATTCTTAGCTTGTATGTCTTGATATTTTTTCCTTGTTGCCTACATACATACCAAATATTAATCATATGATAAATTTCATATCCCTTGTTCAAAATATTGATAGAATAATAATGATACCTCATATGATTCACCCGTATGCGACTGATAAAACTCATTCCATGTCTCTTGTTCAATGAAGTCGTATGTTTGACAAGGGTTCTGACCTGCATAGCAACCGTATATATACTAGTAAGAAAACAAGATTATTTATTAGTAATAAATGTAATTATAAGTACAAGGGTTCTGGCCTGCATAAATACCATATATATACTTGTTCACCAATTTTGTTTTAAAATCTTTCCACCTATCACCCACATAGCTTAACCAATGTCTCTTCATATCAATGGTGTCGGGAATATCAAAAGTACTCTACAAAACAAGATTATTTATTAGTAAGAAATGTAATTATATTAACTTTTTAAATAAATCTAAATCTATCTTACCAGGATTTCTTTCCAAATAGTAGCTTTAGTATCTTCTGGGATATCCGACCATTCTTTTATTGTTATAGGAGTATTGATTCGTGCCACTAATCCAACATAACTTTTAAATTCATTGCCAGCTTTCCCGTAGACAGGCTCGAATCCATCAAGCTCAACTTGTAGTTTCCCAAAAGCATTACGTTGCCTAATGATTTTTTGCATACGAGTGGCACCCCTCTTCTTTGTAGTTTGAGTACTACTTTGAGTATTATGAGTACCTTCTGTAGTACCACCATCATCTGTGGAATCCATACGCCTGTTTAGAAAGAAAAATTATTAGAATATATATAGAAATATTAGAATAAGAAAATATAAAAACAAAATAAATACCTAATTAAAGCATTACATATATAATAAATCAATTCTCCCATATCCCTTCACGATGATCATCTCGTGATGCATGCACTTCATCTATCTCATTATCAATAACGGGAGGCAATAAACTTGACGAAAATGGTGGTATTTCCTCAATATCGAAACTAACATCTTCATTCTCATCTACAACAATTTGTCTCTTTCCATGAAGAACAATGGACCATTTTTTGTCACAAGGATCACTAATATAAAAGACTTGTTTTGCTTGGGATGCCATTATGAACTGCTCATTTTTGTGTCCTTCCCGATTAAAATCTACAAGGGTAAATCCTAACTCATCAACTTTTACACCATGTTTATTATCTACCCATCTACATCGAAACACCGGGACCCTAAAAGAAACATAATCAACTTCCCATATTTCTTCAATCACACCATAATATGACAACTCTGCAAACACGGGATTTGGATCTTTCAAACTACTGAAATGCATTGAATTTGCAACCAAAGTAACTCCACTGTTTTGCATAGTGCTCTTTTCATCTTGAGCTTTTGTATAAAAAGAAAACCCATTAATGTCATATCCATTATGACATAAAACATCCAAACCAGGACCATGTGCTAACCATGAAACAGTTTCAGAAACATTATTCTCTTTAAGAACTTTATTTTTGAACCAACTAATAAAAGTTCGATTATGTTCACCCACAATCCACATGTCTGTCCTTCTTGGATTTTGCTCCATAATCAACGCCTTGTGTTCATCTAAATACGGTTCGACTTCACTTGTATTATGCAAGATGTACAAGTGTGCCTGCTCAACATCTTCACGAGGCATAACATTCACTTTGACTCCTCGAGTACCCTTTCCAGTAATTCTTCCTTCATGCCGATTCTTAGAAACTCCAATAGACTCAACTCCTGCCAAATATTCAGTACAAAACTCAGTAACCTCCTCAGCAACATAGCTTTCAACAATAGATGCTTCCGGCCTATATCGGTTCCTAACATAACCTTTTAATACTTTCATGCACCTTTCAAATGGGTACATCCACCTCAAATAAGCTGGACCGCAATGTTTGATCTCTCTAACCAAATGCACAAGCAAATGAACCATGATATCAAAAAATGAAGGTGGAAAGTGCATCTCTAGCTGACACAGTGTAACAATAATTTCATTTTGCAATTCATCTAATTTGTCTGGATCAATAACTTTTCCACAAATTGCATTGAAAAAGAAACAAAGTCTTATGATGGTGTATCTCAACTTTTTAGGCAATATGTCTCTAACAGCCACTGGCAATAGTTGTTGCATTAAGACATGACAATCATGAGACTTCAACCCCACCAACTTTAAATCTTGCATATTAACAAGTCTACTGATATTTGATGAATACCACTGTGGTACCTTTACTCCACGTAAACACTCACAAAAACTTATTTTCTTCTTTCTTGATAAAGTATGAGCAGCGGGAGGCAAATATGTTTTCTTACCCTCGGAACGTGGTGCTAATGTAGGTCGTATACACATTTCAACCAAATCCAATCTAGCATTGAGTCCATCTTTAGACTTACCTTTGTCTAAAAGAGTTCCAACCAGACTATCACATACATTTTTCTCCACATGCATCACATCAATACTATGTCTCACATCTAGTGTCTTCCAATATGGAAGATCAAAGAATATAGATTTCTTTTTCCACGGACTCTTCTCATTTGTAGATTTTGATCTCTTTCCTCTTTGAGATTTAAGCTTCTGAGTCTTACCAAAAGTAACTTGAAGGCATTCAACTCGTTCATATACTTGATTCCCAGTCAATGGTTGTGGAGCATCTGTATAGTCTTGCACCCCATTGAATGCCTTTTTTAATTTTCGATAAGGGTGAAATTTATCAAGAAATCTCCGATGCCCCATATATACCGTCTTTCTACCATGAACAAGTTGATGATAACATGTATTATCTTCACATATGGGGCATGTCTTATGACCTTTGACACTATATCCAGACAGATTTCCATACGCTGGAAAGTCATTGATTGTGCAAAAAAGCATTGCATGCAACTTAAAAGTCTCCTTTCGGTATGCGTCAAACACTAACACACCTTCATCCCATAATTGCTTCAAGTCATCAATTAAAGGCGCCAAATAAACATCTATATCATGACCTGGTTGTTTTGGCCCAGAAATCATCAAACATAATAATATGTATTTTCGTTTCATACACAACCAAGGGGGTAGATTATAAATTATCAACATAACTGGCCACGAGCTATGCTTGCTACTTAGATTCCCGTGGGGGTTAATACCATCAGTACAAAGTCCAAGTCTAAGATTTCTCGCCTCGTGACCAAATTCAGGAAATGCATTATCAAATGTTATCCATTGAGAAGAATCAGCCGGGTGTCGAAGCTTGCCATCAGAAATCCTTTGATCTGCATGCCATGTTAAGTTCTTCGCATCACTTGGATTTGCAAACAGACGCTTAAATCTTGGAAGAATTGGGAGATACCACAAAACTTTAGCTGGTGGCCTTTTCAAACGTACTTTACCAGCAACATTCTCGCTTGTTTTATAACGAGATGCCCCACATATTGGACATGCATGTAAGTCTTTGTAATCATTCCTAAACAATATGCAATCGTTAGGGCAAGCATGTATCGTTGTATATCCCATACCCATTGGACACAAAATCTTTTTGGCATCATACGTACTATTGGGAAGTTCATTACCATCTGGAAGCATGTCCTTTACTATTTCAAGTAACGCAGTAAAGCTCTTGTCGCTCCACCCATTCCCAGCTTTCAAGTTGAATAATTTTAATATAGTAGCTAATCGGGAATATTTACTACACCCCGGCCATAACGGTTGTTTTGAATCATTCAATAATTCATCTAACTCATTTGACCGATTGGTAAACTCTTCTCCAATATCGCGAAACATTTCATCCAACCGATCTTCAGACTCATTATCTTCATTGTCAACATACACATTAGATGTCGTAGACACATCGCGTTCACCGTGCCAAATCCATTGTGTATAATATGGATTAATCCCATTACCGATTAGATCATCATCATATATGTCCTCTTCACCTAACTTTTTTTGATTACAACATTTCTTACAAGGACACAACCACCTGTTATTACTATTCGGAAGGTTACTCTTTGCAAAGTCTAAAAATTTTCTAACTCCATCTTCGTATTCCGTACTAAGTCGATTAGCTATCATCCAACTTTTATCCATCACGTACAAGCCAATCTAGATAATAATAACTCTAATTAAACATTTGTTAACACTATTTTAACAAATTTCGATAATAATAACTGCTACAACAACTACAATAATTTTAGCATTTACATAATGCAAACAAGTAGCATTTAATGGACGCAAACAAGGAGCATTTATTCATCACGTACAAGCCAATTTAGGTAAAATAATAATAATCATTTGTCAATTCTAGATGCTTTCTTATACATCCTAACTAACCAAAGAACATGTCAAACACAATGTGAATTGAATCTTGCTAAACACAATAGACAAATTGCGTACCCGAGACTGGCGGAGAACATTGGAGGAGGAGCGCAGCAAGGACTGAACTTAGTCAAACCGGATTGACGCCTAACAAAAAATAAACCAATCAAATATTTTCGAAGTAGCAATATAAATTATAGGCTAATTTTAGCCTAAGTAATCGCAACCTCTATATGGCAACCATTCAATGGTATGTGATACCCAATATTTTATAGTGTATCAAATACAATATATTACAGTATGTATCATTTAGAAATTTATTGCCAAACATAACAATAATACTTCTTTACATTCATTAGATACTATTCATGAATTGAATAACCATATCATGAATTTAAGTAAAATGATTTGTGTGGGTGTGTGTTCCTTCATTTCATTCTTTTTCTGTAGCAGTTTAAAGCAAAAATAGCTATGTCTATTCCTCTAGCTCTCCTATCAATGCCATAAAAGTAAATGGAATAGAAATATCATCCTACATTAACATCAACACTAAGCACCTTTCAGTAAAATAATAGAATTGGCTGACAATAAACAAAATAATAGATATTCAATTGTTTACTCATTTCTGACTTTATGGTACTCAGAAGGAGGGTTGAGCTCATGAGCTGATAAACACTAAATCCTTACTTTGCAAACACAATGTTTAGTTAATATTAGTGCACCCATACGACATGTATCATTTACGGTATGTATCAATAATATTTCTTGAAATGGTATATAGTTAAACATAAAATTCCCAATAATTCATAAAATTTCGAAATATACACACAACAATTCATAATTTACCCAATAACTTATAAAATCAAAAATATATACACAATTATTCCTAAAATTTCGAAATATACACAATAATTATAAAATTCAAAATTCAAAAAATACAAAAGAATAATTATATATATATATATATATATATATATATATATATATATATATATATATATATATATATATATATATATATATATATATATATATATATATATATATATATATATATATATATATATATATACGTACCTGCCGTATATGCCTCGATCGACGACGTCGGGCGTCCGGCGGCGTGGCAGCGCGGGCGAGCGGCGAGGCAACGATCGGCAGCGGCAAGCGGCGAACGTCGAGCGGCGAGCGGCGAACGGCGACAGGCAAGCGTGGAGAGATCGGATCTGTCTACGGTGGCGGTGGTGGAGGGTTTTGGTGGCGTTTCGGCGATGAGATGATGAGAAGATGAGGGTTTACGTTGAAATGAGCTTCGATCGTCTGATCTGTGTATTTTATTTTATGTATTAAATGAAATTATTATACGGCGTCGACAATATACGTAGCCGACGCCGTATACTATATATATTTTTTTATTTTTTTAATACGAGTATACGGCGTCGGCAATATACGTAGCCGACGCTGTATACTATATATTTTTTTTTAATTTTTTTTTTAATACGAGTATACGGCGTCGGCTATATACGTAGCCGACGCCGTATACTATATATATATATATATATATATTTAATTCGAGTATACGGCGTTGGCTTTATACTAGCCGATGCCGTATACTATATTTATTTTTAATTTTTTTTTATTTGATATACGGTGTTGGCTTTATAAATAGTCGACGCCGTATAATATATATATTTTTTTATATTACAGATACGGCGTCGGATTTACCAAAAAGCCGACGCCATATGTATTTTTTAAAAAATAAAAATTAAATTTAAATATTTAACGTCGGTTTTTCGAAAAATCGACGTTATAATAGCGACGTTAAATCCTTTTTCTGTAGTAGTGAATCCCTTATAATCCCTTATAATCTCTGTCTGGTTGATTGTTTTGCCTAAAACAATATTCAAGTTAAGTTTCATATACATTAAATTTCTGTATATGTTTTAATTCTTTAAATTATACACGTAAAAATATATCTATTCAGTTGGGATATAATTATGTAATTTGACATGTATGTTTCAAAGTGAATGAATTTCTAATTCTACTGAAACTAAGAATAATTTTGGCAAGCTGTATATGTATGCAACCTGAATACATTTATTCTATTAAAGGCATACACAGGGACGGAGCCAAAGGGGGGGCGTCTGCTCCCCCTCACCCCACCCCCACCCCATATATAGTATTTGTATGTATATATGTATATATAGTACATGTTTTAGTATTAGTATAAAAAAACTATAAAATGTTAACACAAAGTGAGTTAGATTAGATGGTAGAACAAATATTTGGTAATAATGAGGTCAAGTGTTCCAATTTTGGCATCAACATAGATTTACAATTCTTTTTTAATATTTAATATGTATATATATATATATATTTTTTTTCATGTATGTACATATATATATATATTGATTTCATATATGCATATATATATACATATACATATATTTTTTGTGCTTTGCTTTTACAGTATGTATCATGTATGTACATATATATATATTGATTTCATATATGCATATATATATATATATATATATATATATATATATATATACATGTCTTTTTTTTTCCAGAAAAATTTTGGAAAAAAAATTTATAAATTGTTTTCGAAATATAAAGAAAATAATTTCGAAATTAAAACAATAGACCTACTGCATTGCTATTTGTTCGCCGGAAAATCGCCGGATTTGTTCGCCGGTTACAGTCTCCGTTCGATGGCGGAGGTGGGTGGTGTCGTTGGACGCTGGACATGGCAACGGAGCTGGTGTTGCACCAGGAGAGATGGCGAGGCGAGGCGAGGCTGGGTTTCCGGTTGTCACTGCTTCCTCTTCTTCTCCAGGCGACGTTGGCGAAGTTGGGTTGGTGCTGCTCCTCTTTTCTAGTCGCCGTTGCTACTTCTGTTTCACGGTCAATAATGCCTGCGGCGAACCTGGTGTCGCGACGAGGTGCGGCGGCGACGAGCAGGGAACTCCGACGGCGTTGCGGCTGCCTTCCTCTCCTTCAGATGACGCCAGCGATTCGCTGGTCTCATCAGCAGCTAGGGCTTCTGGTTAACATGAAGATGAAGAAGATGATGAATTATAGAATATGGGCCGGGTCTGGCCCATATGGCCAGACCTGGATTATAATTTTAAAAAATAATGGAGTCTATTTTAGTATTTTGGGCTTCTTCAGCTTTCACCGGCAATTTAGTAGCGTTATGCCATGGAACCGTGTTCACCATTCGTGGTGAACACGGTTCCAACGGTGTTAGTACACCGTTATCTTTTTTTTTTTTCTTAATTAATTGCGTGACTTTTCTTCTTCATTTTCACATTTTGCGGTTTCACTTTAATTTGAGGTGAACAATGATTTCGGACATTCATAAATTATGAATTCATGCCTGCACATTCACTTTGGAACCATGCCTACACATTCCCGTCCGAAATCACGGACATTCATAAATTATGAAAATCCATGCCTGCACATTCACTTTGGAACCATGCCTACACATTCAATTTGGAACCATGAGATTATGAATTTTCTGTTATAAGATTATGAATTTTCAGTTATGAGATTATGAATTTTCTGTTATCAGATTATGAATTTTCTGTTATGCGATTATGAATTTTCTGTTATGCGATTATGAATTTTCTGTTATGAGATTATGAATTTTATGAAAATTCATAATCTCATAAAAGAAAATTCATAATTTGATCAACGCGCGCCGTTAACTCCACATCCGCGAATTTTTTTTTTTTTTTTGCCTAAAAAAGACGTCGTTTGGCCTTGTGTTCACCATTCTCGGTGAACACGTTTCCAGGGCATAATTTGCCGGCAATTTATATCCTGCACCACAATGCGCGTTGCATTGTGCGCCCAGATGGCCAGATGCAAAACGACGTCGTTTCAGATTTTTTTTTTTTTTTTTTTTTTTGAAATTTCGCTACCCAGTGTTTGGCGGTTAATTTTCTTTTAAAAAAAATCTCATGTTCAAAAATGTACATAATGTTATACATGAATGTACATAATTTTATAACAAAATATACATACTGTTTTTTAAAAGATAATACACATAATCTAACATAATACATAATAAACATAAACTTTTAACAAAAATTTCCTGATTCGAATGTACATAATTGTATAAAAAAATGTACATAATTGTATAAAAAATGTACATAATAAAAAATATACATAATTGTATGAACAAATATACATAATCACAGCAACTTCCTACCGCGCCTCCCAAAACGACGTCGTTTTGGGAGGCGCGCGGCGCACAGTGCTACGCGCGCCGTGGTGTAGGGTATAACGATTGGCTTTCACCATCATATTTAGACTTCTTCTAGTTAATTGTTCAACTTTAATTTCTCCTTAATTCATTATTAAATTATTATTCAATTTGGGGCAAATATTAAATTTTAATTTGCTATTTGAATTTTAATTTAATGTTAAGGTGCAAATTAAATTGTCTCAAGTTTTAGAATTTATGGTTAATAATATATTAATATGCAAAATCAAAGCATGCTATGTATATTTATTAAATAATTATTTTATTATTATAATTATACATTCATAAAAGCATGCATTAAGATTGGATTTAGCATATTATTAACTCATAAAATCATTATTAAATATCATTCAATTTTGGATATTATGACCTACTAAAGCAGGGTTTCCCCTTAATTTTGAGCACATTTTAATTTTATGTCTCAGAGACTTTAGAACCTATTTTGAACAAGTTATTTTGGACCTATCTTGGGTCATTAATGTATGGATCCCATTATTTTGATTGATATTTAAAAAATAATTATAGCTCCTTTTGATTATAACATGTTTATTAAGTTTTAATTATTACTAACTACCATATTTTGGTATTCATCATTGCCAATAATATTAAGTTCTAGGTCTACTTATTAAATCTTTAATTTTATGACAAAATTACAATATAGTTAGTTAGGAACCCCCCTCATTGTTACTGGTGGGACTCAATCCCTAGTCATTCTTTCAAAGTTTCATCTCTATGACCAGTTAAGCTACCCATACGAGTAGTATCATAATAGTCATGATTAATTATTATGTGGTAAAATTGAGATTAGTATTTGGCATCCCTTAGTTACAGTTTTGCCATTTACTAAGTTACTAGTTTTTTTACGCGCTTTGCGCGAATGGGATAATGCCCAATAATTATTTTTAAATAAGTATTTCAAAGTATATCAATGCAATATTATATAGAAGATGTTCATGCATAGGTAAATAAATGTTGAATTTATTTATTTAAATCGGTAATTTAAAGTATATAATTGCAAGATAATATATGAGAGATTGATTATAACTGTCACTAAAATAAATGTTTGCAACTTTGTAATAACGCTAGTCTAAATACTTAGTCTTAAAGCGATAGTCTAAATAAATACTACTTTTTGTTTAAATTTCTCTAATTCTTCTTAATAAATACTACTTTTTGTTTAAATTTCTCTAATTCTTCTTAATTCTTCTTTTGGGTAGCATTGTTATTGTTTTCATCTTCAGTACATGTCTTTTTTATTTTTATTTTTATTTTTATTATTATTGGTAGTGTGTCATGTGCAATTAGGTTACTGGTAGCAGCATAGAGGGATTCATCATGCAATGAGATTATGGTTAGGTAAATAAATGTTGAATTTATTTATTTAAATCGGTAATTTAAAGTATATAATTGCAAGATAATATATGAGAGATTGATTATAGCTGTCACTAAAATAAATGTTTGCAACTTTGTAATAACGCTAGTCTAAATACTTAGTCTTAAAGCGATAGTCTAAATAAATACTACTTTTTGTTTAAATTTCTCTAATTCTTCTTAATAAATACTACTTTTTTTAAAAAAATTTCTCTAATTCTTCTTAATTCTTTTTTTGGGTAGCATTGTTATTGTTTTCATCTTCAGTACATGTCTTTTTTTTTTTTTTTTTTTTTTTTTTTTTTTTTTTTTTTTTATTATTATTATTGGTAGTGTGTCATGTGCAATTAGGTTACTGGTAGCAGCATAGAGGGATTCATCATGCAATGAGATTATGGTGTAGGAAGTTTTAGATTTGTCTTGCTGTGTATATGACTGAGATTTTAGTTGTAATATGAACTCTTTAGCGTACAAATACCTATTGATATTTAGTAGTGGTAGTTTTTTTCCTACATATTTCATGTGTTGTGAGATGTATGTCGTAGGTTATCATGTGAAAGTATTGAACAAAATATTAATATTAATATTTATTATATTTAATTTGTATAAAATACTTGGTAAATAAATAAATAAATAAATAAATAAATATATATATATATATATATATATATATATATATATATATATATATATATATATATATATATATATATATATATATATATATATATATAGGATTATATTCAAATACAAACAGTGCTTAAAATACAAACAGTGCGGATTCATTAGAATCGTTGGATTTTGGGATTGGATGTCCATGATTTAATTAATTATTTTTGTTAGTTTTTAATTATACGGTAAAGTGTTTTATTTTAAGGGGGGCATTTTTGGGTTTTTCCTTTTGGGTTAATCGGTTCAATTGTAGTGGAATTACAATAACCAGTCCAAATTCACGACTTTCCCGATCTCTCTCTCGCGTTTCCGTGCATCTGCCAGAGTTATCTCCCACGCCGTTGATCTCCTTCTCCATAAGCAGTCGAACGATGGCCGGGTATTTTTTTTATATACCCCGGACGATCTCCGGTCGACGGCTGCGAATTCATTCAGTAGCAGTTCGTCTGGACAGTGACGGCGATTTTCTTTAGCAATTTTCGGCGCAACAACAGAATTTGGTTCGGCGACAGCCTTGGCTCCAAGCATTAATTTCGTCTCCAAGCATTTGAGTTCAGTGAGCGGCGCAACAACATTCTGGTTTCTTCCTTTTGTTTATCTGTTGAGGATTTAATTCAATTCTTTTATTCCAATGCAGTGGGTTGAATAGCTAATGAGTAATGATGAAATACATTGTTTATTAATGTTTCGGCTTTAGCAATATATTTCTGGTTTTTTTCTTCTTTAATTCACATGCACTGTGTTTTATTGTTAGTAAGAATTTGTCAATCTCAATTCCCAATTTGTGCCTTGAGAAAGCAGTGCTACGGTGGAGCCTAAATTCAATTCCAATTTTCTTAATTACAAAGCTTAATCACTTGCGTAATGCTTAAATGCACAACTAATTATCATGCTTAATGTTAATTGTCTTGCTGATTTGGTAATCTTCATGTTCTTGGGATTTTCGAATTTAATCGTTATTGTTAAATTTATATATTCTGTGCTTGCATACAGTTTGATCTCAAAGTGCACACATCTATTTATTTACTAACTGTATAAGCTAATGGTGGACTAGCAATTTTGTTGAGTTGTGCAATTGCTAGTGCATATCGTAATGTAGTTGTGTGCACACATGTATTTATGCACTAAGGGTATAGCTAGTAGTGAACAAGTCATTTGTGCCAAATTTATGTAAGTAGGGCTACACCCGCGTACCCTCATGCAGTCGCAAGACATCTATTTGTGCACAGTTGGTTGTCTATTTTTTAGTAACGAATTTATACTATTAATTACCACATGTGTATTAAAATATCATTGTCTACTTTGGAGTTGGTCTTCTGTGTGTTTGCCCGAATGCACACTATTATAATTCCCAGTGCACAGCCCTTCACTACTAAATAAATTCCGCCCGTGTTAGTAAATGGATAGATGTATGCACGTTCGCCCCAAAATGTGAGCATGATCACATATGTACTTTTTTTAACACTACCTAGACCACTATTCCCTAGTACATCGAGTAAAATAAATACATGTGTGCACATTTGCGTTAATCTATGTGCATGCACAACTAAATAAATTTCAACCACGGCTAATAACTCAATAAATTTTACTCAAGTGACTAGCTCACCATTAGCTTGTGGCCTTAATAAATCAAAGCACGTGCACGTACTTGCGTTAAACTGTGTGCATGGTTAACTAAAGAAATTGCAACCGTGGTCGTTATCTAAAAAAAGTTCACAACAGTCGCTAGTTCACTATTAGTGAGTAGGCGTAGTAAATGAATCGATGTGCG